TAAAAGTTAATATCACTAAAATTTGTATTCCTGTAAAATTGCTTACGCTATATACACATATAAAGCTCTGTTAATATAATCACATAATATGTAGAGCCTTAATTTCATCAACTACATGATTTACAATGAATGATAACACCTACATACCAAATCCACTGGTTATCAATTAATTATTTCGACGTCAAAATTGAAATAAAAATTAAAATCTTCGCTTCCCGTCGTCTTTAATCTCAAGCTTGCGATGGTAAACAGTTACATCGCTTGAAGGGAGAAAGTGTAAATAAATGGCTCGCTTTCCCTTGAAAATTCACAGTGTTTCTACTTTTTTTTTTCTCTCTCTCTCTTTTGCTTAGGCAGAACCATTTCCCGGAATGTAGTTTAAAACGAGCCTTTGATCATAAGTCAATCTTTACTTCATGTTGAATTTGTGTGTACAAATAACAAATGTCTTTTCCGCAATGCTGTAGTTATTCTCTGCCATAATTCACTCTTTCCAAGGCATTTTGTCGATAGATGTCTGTACAGAAATTGCTGTAGTTTAATTTCTATGCACAGCTTGCAGTTAAAAGGACTAGATAATGTATATGTCCAAAGTGGTATGAAACTGGCTAGACTTCATTTGGTGTTCATTCAGGATACGGTGTTATTGTCTTCTTTAGATACTACGTTTATCTACTATTTATTCATTTATTTATTGATTTTTATACATACCTATATGTAAAATGACGGGTATATACAATACGAATTTATTGTCCACAGTAAATTTCCGAAAATAACAAAACGTTATTTTTCTCTACTAAGATAAATATATAAGAAACAACATATTCCTAAAACGCTAATACTGAGTTTAACATAGAAAGATACAAAATCATAACAGTTATGTGTAATGTTCGTATTTTACACATCAATATTCTTTAATTCAAAAATTAAATAAAAACAGACTATTGTACAATATGTTTTCTGGATTGGTTCCACGTTGACAGCACACGCGCACGTGTGTGTAGGTCTCGGTCTCTCTCTCTCTCTCTCTCTCTCTCTCTCTCTCTCTCTCTCTCTCTCTCTCTCTCTCTCTCTCTCTCTCTATATATATATATATATATATATATATATATATATATATATACATGTATGTATATACATATATATAGATAGATAGATACGTGTACATACATATAAGTACATATATACACACAACATGTATATATATATATATATATATATATATATATATATATATATATATATATATATATATATATATATATATATGTATATATATATATATATATATATATATATATATATATATATATATATATATACATATATATGTATACATATATATATGTATATATATTTATATGTGTGTATATATATGTATATATGTATATACATATATATATATATATATATATATATATATATATATATATATATATATATATATATATATTATATATATATATATATATATATATATATATATATATATATACACATATATATATATATATATATATATATATATATATATATATATATATATATATACATATATTTATATATACATATATTTATATATATATATATATACTTTTTCTCGAGACGACACCCTATATTAGTAAAAATCAGGACGAAAAGTTTCCTTATAGTTTCGACTGAGCCCCTGCCCTTCTGAAAGTATCTGTCTCTCTTCTTTCTGTTTATACAAAAGAATGAAAAATAAGATCAAGAGAGAGTGAAAAAAAGAGAGAACATCACACTACAGACAACTGACATTCAAGTTTAAAATCAAGTGCAGTTCACGTAAAATACCTTGCGATGGCCGGGAATCGAACCCGGGTCAACTGCTTGGAAGGCAGCTATGCTCACCACTATACCACCATCGCTTCACAATGGTGACATCCAAAAAGGAAAACTTATTTCCCTGAGAAAAACTCTTCCGTTGACAACTGAGCCAGAGACAATATATGATAGTCATTATTCAGCCATTTACTTGCGAGTAAAAAAAGAAAAAGAAAAAGAAAATAGATAAAAGAGAAAGCGTTTACTCTTCATCAGTTAAATATTTATCTGCTACACATGCATGCATATCATCGGATTATATCTATCTATCTATCTATCTATCTATCTATATCATTTCTGTGAGCGAGGGGGTGCAATATAACTCGGTACCTGCTTGTGGACCCAAGGCCAAACTCATGAATGGGCCCAATGGTAGGCTCTTGTGTTGGTAGGCCCCAATACTCCGGGCCCTTTATTACACTTTAAACCAGGTTATCCGCTACTCTGTGTTCGTAACAAAATAGCGAATACTCTTATCAATAAAAGTCTTTATTAACATTAATAGTAGTATGAGCATATTTGGCGTTTCAATTACGCAAACGCATTTCTACGACGCGCTTCTGTACTATCAACCAAACCTCATCCACGACTACCGATTTCCGATAGCTTTGTAAAAAAAGAGAGATACGCACTTGAACAGGAATAAAGAAAGAATAAGATAAGAAAGAAAAGTAATACAGCATTGACCTATCTGCTTCGAACTGATAAATCATACTGCTGATATGAGAAGGAAGATCGATGGATGACTGGAATCCTAACAGCACAATTATTGCGTGGCTCAGCTGTGACGAACACCTGTGAGGACTGGTTGTTGAAGGGAGTTTCCGGTGTAGTGATTAGGTTCTTGTGTATTTAAGGCTTAATACAGTAATACATGTTGTTTTGTTTGTTTTACAGATAGTAAGAATATTTAAGACAGTAATCACAATATTTTCCAAGCAGGTGACCCGGATTCGATGCCCAATTGATTAAAAAAACTAATCTTTATTTCTGTTTAAATGTAATATTTTTCTCTTTGTGCTTTGCTTAGTCTCTTACTCTTTCTTCCTAACTCATTTTCTCTCGCATGAAAAGAAAAACACAAAAGAGATAATATGAGAAAAAGACCGGAAGATAATACATAAAGGGGATTACACCGACATACAGACTTTCGGAAGGACAGGAAATCTACGGAGACACAGAAAGAGATGGAAACACACACACACACACACATATACATGTGCATATGTATATATATATATATATATATATATATATATATATATATATATATATATATATATATATATATATTTATATGCATGCATGTGTGTGCATACTATGATAAGAATATCAGAACGGTACTGCTATGATAATAATGATACCGATGGCTAAAAAATATTGGCGGCATCAGTAAAAGACTTCCTTCATCCTTCATAATGAAAGAACTATAATGGCATGGCTGACGACCCTATTTGTATTTGCTGTATACTGTGAAGGTTTGATTTGACAAACAACCCGCCTCTTCAAATTGACTCTCAGAGTATTACTATGAATGAGCAATTAAGGTCTGTTATAAGAAGATCCTTTATCCCCACCCCCTTCGTTGCATGCAAAATGAAGAGAAAGGAGAAAGAGAAAAGATATATACATGCATGTATACCGTATAAAGATCTAAGTTTAAGATGCACAGTAAACGATAATTTTTACCAAATAAACTGGACACCGCTGCTCACTCTAGGAATACAGTAGCCCACTCGCAAGCAAATAGTTGCATAATATCTCTCGTTCAGTCGTTAAACGGAATAATTATGCTTAGGAAAACGTATTTCATTTACTTCCAGATTGTATGAAGCGATGGTGGTATAGTGGTGAGCATAGCTGCCTTCCAAGCAGTTGACCCGGGTTCGATTCCCGGCCATCGCAAGACATTTTGCGTGATTTATGCTTTGCTTCTGTATATTTTGTCTAGATTCCATACCCTGATTCTGAATTTGTGTATTGTGTTCTCCCTTTTCCTCTCTGTCCTCTGTTGTCCTTACTCTTTTTCCTTTTTCAGGTGCGTGTTTTGTTTTCTATTATGCTGATTTTGTAGTTCAGAGTCTAGATCAGTTTTTCTTAACCTTTTTACTACCTCACCCCCCCTTTAGGAATAGGTCCTTCTTCCACTCCCTTGCAGCTAGGAATAAAATTTCCTCCCAGATTTTAAAGAAAATTATAAATATGCTCTTAGTCTGTTTATAGAATATGAATTATTCACATTATCATTATACTTATTCTTTGACCATGTTCCCGTGAAGAGAATAACAAATATAATGAGAGAAATTATTATTTTTTTCTCAAGGGCACCCCTAGGGAATTACTGACGCTTCCCTAAGGTTAAGAACCAACGGTCTAAATTTTTTTTATATGTTTACCAAGTTTAGATATACTTATAGAGAAAAATAGGGCCTTATTATATTTTTGGAATTTTGTTATGAGCAATGACAATGCTGTATATAGATTTTACATGCATGAATATATCAAAATACATGGGTAACCAAATAGTAAATAAGAAAATAAATGAGCCTAGGATATGAACAAAACAACAACTGGAGATCTGAGTCAGAGCATTGTGTACACACATACGTACGTACATACATATATATATATACATACATACATATATATACATATATATATATATATATATATATATATATATATATATATATATATTTATTTATTTATTTATTTATCTATATATATATAAGAACTGTATTGCGTATAACATGAAATAATCACCGAATCCCAGAGGAATACAATGTTTTAATTAACCATACTCGACAACAGATATATCATTTCAAACCAGCGTCAACCGGTTAAAGTTATTCACATATAATTGTCCCCCCTACAAAAAGTACGTTTTCTAAATGAAGTGAAGGAAGAAACCCTTTTATGGGTTACCTAATTAAATATTGTGAAAAGCCAAATGACAGTGAGGTCTACCTGATTTCTTGATCCTGACGTACCGCCGGCTGGTATTTGTTTGGTTTAATTAAAGCAGGTTTGTCAGGATGAAAATACATTTGTTTTCCCTGTAGTTTTGTCCCTACCACCGTATCTGCCATCCGAGGAAGATCAGGGAGGACGGGCCACTCTACGCTCCATCCTTGCTTTTGCTATTTAGACTCGACCAGTAAGGGGGAAGAATGATCTATACAGTAACTGAAATGCAATTAGTTACAGGTATTTTACAGAGAACCACCAATAGTTTTACGATGGGTCCAGGTACGGGGACACACATACAAGCAATTTATCGATCATGGTTGCATGCCAACGATACGCATTCTCAGCAACAGAGAGGAATAGTACGGGAGTCATTCCTGTCACCCTTTTACCTCCTTCGCTGGAAAA